TTGATCTGCAGTCGACTTTCGTGGCTGAGGGTATCCCCAATTCTGTGTCTTTATAAAAGCGTAAAGACACCTTAGCTGTCAGTCAAGACAATTCAATCAGGAGTTCAAAATCATTTCCGAATTCATCAAAAGTCACAATGACAATGAAGAGCTCATTCTAATCGGGTATATTTGCGAACGCGATTCAATTTGAATAAATGGGACCGTCCTACGGGAGATGCATCTTAGTAAAGTCGGGATGCAAGGGAAGTGCGATTCAAGACAGCGATGAAATCAGAGAAGGCTGAAAGAAGCACGATCATCCAGTTCGTCCCACATTAGTTGGAGTGAAGCGCATGCTCTACGATATTAAAGACATCGCGGCTGCTCTAGTTTACCCTCCACAAGCCATCGTCGCAACTTTTCACGGAGACATCAACAGCAGTTCAAGGCCAACTTCCTTCCATCTCTTCGGTGAAGAAACAAGTTAAACGCAGAGAGCAGTGTCTGGTCAACCTTCAGCGCCAAGACCGACTGGTGGAGCCACATATATTGACCTGCAATGGCGAGCAAATTCTCTTTGAAGGCACCGACGCAAACCTTGATCGGATTTTAATCGTCACTCCGAAGAATTTGGATATTCTCGTCGAATCCGACCACTGGATGGCTGACAGGACATTCAAAGCAGCTCCCCCTCACTTCGATCAACTCTGGACCATTCCACGCGATCAAGTTCAACTCGGCACTTCCTTTGATCTTCTTCCAAACAAGTCATACGTTAAAACCCTTCGCATCATCTGCGGGAAAAAGTCAGGGATAGATCCGAAATCAATACTGATTGCCTTCGAGCGAGCCGAAATCAATGCGTTCAAGGATATGTTTCCGAATCCCAAAATGCGAGGATGCTTTTTTCAGTTCAATCAATGCATTTGGCGCAAAATTGAAAGTTCAGGCGAACTGCAAGCACGATACCAAAGCACAGAAGACCTAAATTTCGCCAGTAATGTTCGAAAAATCTCCGCATTGGCATTGGTTCCGGCTGAAGACATTGAAAAAGCATTCAAAGACCTGGTGAAAACTCAAATTTTCAAGGATTAAAGCAACAGTGCCATCTTATTTTGTATTTTGAAGACTTATGGATTGGTCGATCACTACGACGCGGTCGCACTCGCAGAGCTCCAACTTTAGGCCCCAAGCTCTGAAATCAATACGAAGGAATACTTCAAGATCTTCCAAAGGCAAACAACAAAATTGAAGGATGGCGCAGACCCTTTGCGAGCCTTATCTCATCCAGTTGTCTAGAAATTCATCGATGCAATCAAGAAAGAACAAAGTCTGACGGACCTTTAGATAAACCTATTCAAAACAGGGGGATGGTAAGTCCAGGAAGGAAGAAGCACATCACCGTGGCCGATAGAAATAATCAAGAAAATCGTGTAATTGTCCAATTGATTAATTTTACTGATGATAAATAACTTCCGAAATTGTCGACGAGATGAGTCGAAATGTTTGAATTCGAGATCGTGGATTTCGAGAATATGGCGTTTGAGATGCTGAAGTTACAGCAGAAGCCTTTGCAGGGAGCTGCTGTCCGTCCGGTGGTGGTATTGTGGATTCTGCGAAGCATAGAGACACGTGGACTGATTTGCTGGTCCGTTGGAAAAGGCTCGTAATAAATTAAGCCCTGCTCTTTCAGCGATACAACAGCATCTAAAGTTGATGGAATTAATAAACCCAAATATAAGTGAAATAGACCCATGACCAAAATGTGCTTTTTGTGGTTGTGGTGGCCCAAGACACCAACTTTGGGCGACATTGCTTGGCGATGGCTCAAGCTCAACCATTTTGAATCTGAGATCGGCAATTGTATATTGATACACAATCATTTCGTATGAGCACATTTATCGGATAATACAGGTTGTCCCAAAAGGTATGGAAACATTTCAAAAATTAATATCTATCTAAATTATTCCTCAAATAAAATGATTAAAACAGTAAAATGAAGTGCAACTCAAACATTTTCCAACCTGCTATTGCAATTCCACATGGGCACCATTTGTTATTTTGAAGATGTCTCAGTGATGTTCGAGCTCTTACCATACCTTTTACAGAGTGTTAGGCATAACTATCATGATAGCTCGGACGTTTCTGTTCTTTGGATCTTGATCGATTATCTACTTTTCTCCAGTAAGCAATGTCCTTGACATAGCCCACTAGAAAATGTCCTCTAGGGTTAGTTCAGGTGATCTTAGTGGCCATGGAATGAACCTGCTTTGTCCAATCCACAGATCTGGTTTTTTTCTTTCCATGTCTTAGCTTGCTAAAATGTGGAGTTGCAACATCTTAGAAAGTTAGACTTTTACTTTGCCTGAACCCTTCCCTCTTGGATTTTTTTTCTTGTGGGGCTATGTCAAGGACATTGAAGAAAAGTTGAAAATCTCCAATCTGATCTGAAGAACAGAATTGTTGTAGCTATCCAGACAGTTATACATGACACTCCGCGTAAATTGTAGTAAGAACTTGAACATGGTTTGGACGTCTACAGAGCCACAAATAGTGCCAATGTGGAATTGCAATAACAGGTTGAAAAATGTTTGAGTTGCACTTCATTTTACTGTTTTCATAATTTTATTTGAGGCATAACTTAGTGAGATATTAATTTTTGAAATGTTTCCATACCTTTTGGGACACCCTGTATTTGGAAAAGCTCAATTAATCATTTTTTGGAAGTCAGTCAATCTTAGGTGACCTTTGGTGAACCTTTCTCATCGACTGGCTATTAAATTTATGAACACCATTTTCAGTTTTGCAAGTGATTTGAAAATACGACAACGATGAACATAGGCGTAGGAACGTCCTCGAAAGTGGGGGGCGGGGGAGAGGGCCAAACGAGATAGATCGGATCTGAAATTTGGAAAATTACTTGATCAGGATATCAAATTCATGTGAAACAAAACTGCAAATATTCTCCTTTCCGAAATATTTAATCAATTTATCTAATTCCAAGGAATCCAAAATATCTTGATGTGCACGCATCAATGCGTCAGGCGTTGTTGTATCATCGTCGTCTGCATCCAATTTTTGAGCCGTCTCAATGCCGAAAAAGACTCTCTGCTGATGTAACCACAACATACGTAGCACCAAACCGCGTCTTTCGCGGGCATGTATGAGATCTAGGGCCACAAATCAAAGTACTTTACATTGGATGCCCTAGCCCCTTTTCAAGGGAAATGATATTTTTGCGGCTAAAAAGGGCCACTTTCACTAACAGGCACAGGTTCCCGCACAATCTTGTCCGTAGGGACAACCGAGAATACAACACCGTTTAAATTTTCCATTCCTGAATTTTCTTCATATTTTGCTGTCTTCGGTTTAGTAATGAAATAAAAAAGTGTTCCAGTTTGAGTACTTCCCTTCCGTGACATGGCACTGAACCTCTATTCACTGTTCTACCATTAAAATGTTTCAAGCCAGACTTATGCCTGAAGGGGACTGACTCCAGAGCCTCTCTTCTTTTCTAGGAAAGATTTTAGAGAAGGGAGAAGTCTTATCGGATGGGAAATCTTGGACCTATGGAGACAAAAAGTACTCCTACTGGGCGCCTATCAAGTGTGCCGTACCACGCTAATCCCCCTCAGGCATTAACTTTGCTTCAAGATAAATTTACATTCCTAACCCCACTGAATGCCAAGAAGGATCTTGTCGCAACTTGCCAGTGTACGTCTCTAAGGCAAGGGTGCCCAACCTACGGCCCGCAGTGACAGTTCGTCCGGCCCGCGGCAATTCCCGAAATCCAGTTTTTTATCGGTCACTTTCTCTGCGTCCTCCCTCACCCCCCTCGGCAGTACTACTGCAGGAAATGTGGAATTGTAGATCTTCTCTGAATAAAGGCCACCTTTTCTGCGACTTAGTCTGAAACTAGTGTAATATTAATATTTAAAAAATAGGTATTGCGGCCCGGGGGAGGTCCTTCAAGGGGCAATGCGGTCCAGTTGGGCAGAAAAGGTTGGCCACCCCTGATCTAAGGATTAAAAGTGTGGGGGGGGGGGGGGGGGGGGGAAAAAAAAACCCTTTTCCCCCCTATGTTGTGGTTACATCAGCAGAGAGTCTTTTTCGGCATTGAGACGGCTCAAAAATTGGATGCAGACGACGATGATACAACAACGCCTGAGGCATTTTGATAGTGTTATATGTTATGGCAATGTCACTTTATCTGGTTCTTTTTCCAAGGGCAAGCAATAGCTCTGTTACTTGCCCCTGCAAAGAAACTTATTATCAGTAAAATTATCATAAAATGTAATTAGTTTCAGTAATATGTTCCTTCCGCCTTGCTACCACATGGTAACGTGGTATGACACTGCCAGTATGACATCTTTCCTGGATGCTACTAGGCAAATCTCTTCAGCATTTTTTCCTTTGCATTGACTAATCAGCAACCTTCATTGCATTTTTCAAAGATGAAGACTGGTTGTGACTGCTACAATGTAGAGCTTCTCATTCTGTGTGTTTAGCTTGAAAAACAAACACTGCAGAACATATAAAGTCTTGGTTCAAAGATTAAAATAATATACAAAAACCAACCAGAAGGAAACAGACATAGTTTGGAAATGCTGCAGTAGCAACAATTATAACAGCAAATTAGAGACTCGCTGATTAGGGTACATGGTACCACCATCAGTATAAATATTGCTTTATATAGGCTTACGATTATAACTCATGCAGGTTTTCCTCTGCTTACCCTCAGCTGGGAGTATCAAACATGAATGGCAGTGGCACTGAATGGGCAAGCAGGATGACATAAAAAGGGTAACTGTGGAATCCAATCATTCTGAAGGCCATGGAAGAGTATGAGAATGACATAAAAGAACCAAAGAGGAGTCAGATTTAGAGCACATTGGTTCACAGATGATAAAGCGTATCAACGACAACCCAACATCCTTGCCTCTCTGTAGGTCACTCCAACTCTTCACAGCTGTAACAAAAGTGTAAGGACTAAGGAGTCTATACATTTTTCAAATATATTATGACCATTTGAGAACCAGACGTACTTCAGTGATGAGTGCATCCTGGGGCCGAAGAGGGGCTTCAAGCATGCTGGGACTAGGCAGATTGGCTAAAGTGGCAGTAGATTCCAGAGAAGTGGTTGTTGCTGAACTGTTGGAACGATGGACAGAGGAATGGCCAGAAGATGATGCTCCACAATCTGTCGCTGATATGTCAGCTATGATCCCACTCTCTATACAAAAGGAAAAAAGAAAGAAAGAGTTTTTGAGATGAAGACAATTAAAATGCAAATCAGCATGAATATTAAATGCAGATATCCTACCATTGGAACATTGAGAATGAAGAGTAATGGATCGATGCAGTCTAGGACTCTCACTATCATTGGGATCAAACCCAAGGTTCAAGCTCCCTTGTGGAGGATTTATACAAGAATGGCCAGATGAAGAAGATGATGATCCACTGCTACTCACGCTGATAATAGAATATGGCCTCTTCAGAAGGTATTTCTCACTCTGACAGCTTCTCAGCCTTGGAGGAGCTAAAATGTAGGCAATCCCACATGCAAGTCTATCAGATACCATACCAGCTCAAGCGTTAACTTATACCTGAAAAAAAGATGAGGAAAGCAGACCTCGTGTGAAGTGAGGAATGTTTACGGACCGATCATGGATCTGGTCCTCACTTGGCTTGATGTCCAGGCATGGCTTATTCCCTATTCCCATTGAAGACATCTCTACCAATCTCATTTCTTCAGGTAAGGAAGAAACAAGGACATCAAAGAGCAGCAATTAGGATTCTGCTGCCTAGCTCATACTATTTGCTCAAACTGCTACCATTCAATCTTATAGTGATAGAAGCCATTATTATAGCACCAGGAAAGAAGGTCAAAGAGGGAGATGATATGTTTCAGCACTTACTCTCCTCATCGTCAAAGGTAAATGCATTATTGGACGTGGGAGATGTGGTATTGTTTCCCACTAGGGTAAGAAAGAGGAGAAGGGGAGGCAATATTGAAGCAAATGTGCAACCTCTGCCAGTGTAGTTTTCCTTCTTCACTTTAATATCATGCAGTATGGTACTGTAGATTCTTCAAAATCGATGGTAGCAGCAGAATGAGAGGAAACCAGTTTAACTTGCATAAACCCCAAGCAAGACATAGATTGCAAAATGATTCCTTTACTTGTTGGGTAGTTAAAGAGTGGGATGTGTTAAGAGTCGCTGCCCCTACTTTGACTAGCTTTAAGAAGAGGCTTGATGCCTTCATGAAATAAAACAAGAAAAAAGGAGCAGTGTAGCTATAAGTGATTAGGTAGTAGGTGGTTATGCTCCCACAAAAATATCCATCCTTATGTGGGGTAAGGCCTATCTTCTGATACATGAACACTTGACATTGACATTTGACATCATAAGAGGTGCCAATACAATCCAATACATGAAGGGATGACAAGAGGTGCCTTCTCTCACTGTCATCCCTATCCATGTATTGAACCTTGATTTCTTAATTTCCCATTCCAGAGAAAAAAAGCCCTCCTCAGACTTCTTCACTGGATGCTTTCAAAACTCAAAATCCTGTGCAATGATCAAAATGAGATGTTGAAGTTGATGTTGAGATAATTGAAAATATATCTTCATCTTCTGTTAGTTGGTACACAATTTCATGATGACCCTTACAGGGGTCTCAACAGGGTGAGGAAAGAAAGATGACTGGGTTCATCCCATCCACTGCTTCTAAGAGATCCATTCAAAAAAAATACTGGTCAAAATTCATTCCATCAATTTCAACATAAGATACAAACAAGCAATTCAATGGTTCTAATTACTCAATATTATCTCCTTTCATTACACTTTTCACACTGCTTCAGCCAGTCTTGAATAGTACCAGCAAAGGATTTCTCAAGGGCATGTTTAATCCAATGTTCAATGGTTAATTTATGAGCAGAATACTTGGATATCTTATGCCAGGAAGCTGATCATTGAGCCTGAAGAACACCCAGAAGTCAATGCCAGTGCAATGAGGGGTCATTATCAAGGGGCAGGATGAAGGAGCTGGCTGCCCATTCAGGTGGCTTGCTTGTGATTGCTGGCTGAAGATTTTGTTAAATGTATAGGTAAGCTTTCTCAATGATTGCTGTCCCTTTTAGCATGGCATGGGCTATCTGCAAACACAAACACTGCATGTAGCAGCTTGTCTGCCTGTGAGGCCACCTTCAATACTCTTTGGAGGTGGTGAGCCTTGGTGCTTCCATTCAACTGAATAGCATTTGGTCTCATGGTTGTAGAAAGGTACACAGGTTCCATCCATTGTGACAATCCTATTTGAGAACACATAACTTTCTTGTTGAAAACAATGCACAAGCTGTTGACATACATCCATTCACACGGACATCTTGTCTGCCATGAGTTGTCTTGAAACTCCTCAAGATAAAACCTTCCTCATGTGAAGCTTCTCATCAGAATTGTATAAATAGATCCCATGGAAATGCTGAAACATTTCACAATTTCCTCAACTGATGGAAGCCTGATTTCTATAATAATATTGTCCAGAAGGTCATAAGTTTTGTCACATGATGGCTGCTTCCTGTAAAAATGCTTCTAATTGTGGGCTCTGATAGGCAAGTATTCCCATAAACTTCTTTCATTTGCTGATAAATCTCAGTCATGTTCCCTTGCTGTCAGGAATGTGATGATGGTTCCCTGCCCAACTTCATAAATTGCTGTTATTTTGAACCAGAGCCCAAAATAGACTGAAAGAAATGTGTTGCTCCTGGTAAATTCTTGGTTCAATAAAGTTCAAATTTGCAGCACTGTGACATCACAAGTAGATCTTTCACATATATGAACTAGTTCCAAGTTTTATTGACTAAACAATTAATGGTAGCTACTTGATCAGTACTTTTTGAATGAATCTTGCAAATAGCTTTCTTAGGAATGGTGCATGCATTTGTGATTTCAACACAAGCTTCCCAAGTGGAACTCTCGTTTCCCATACCAATGAGCTATGCCAAAATCCATCACACAACTCTTCATATGGTATCCAAAAACTTTTGAGGCAGTCATGGAGCATCCATTTCCTCCTGGAAAATCATTTTAAAGCAATACTCTCTTTACTAAATTCCAAGGATTTTTTAAACTTCCACTCCTCTCTCTCCAAATGGGGAATTTGAAAACATACTTGTTATTCTTCTTTGAATGAAGTCCAGAAAGAATGAGACACATACCTCGATTGCGGAGTGCTTGCCGCCACAAGAGCTTGGAGATTTCCTCTGTCCAAGCTAGCTTGACATCTGAAGAGGGAGCCTGAAGGGTATACGTATCATTGGGCTTCCGCTTCCTGAACCATATCTCAAACCGTGTGTTGTTTTCATTCATGTTCTCTGTCAGACCAATATCAGTGGTCTTGATACTATGCTTGTAAAGGTAAAGGTCCAAGTTCTGCAAGATGAAGAAAGTTTTCACTGTAAAGCTTTTAGTCAACCAAAAATAGATTTTCAGGGTGTAAAGTATATAGCACCTTCCGCTCTGGATCCCTCTTAGCTTTGCTGAAGAGAATCAAGTCCTCAAAGAGGAAGACCTGACGGAGAGCCTTCTTCCCTTTTCCTTGATGGACAAGGAATTCATCCTGTCGAAGAAGACGCCCTTGCTCCTTGAGATTCACCTATATGTATACAACATCTTACAAGCCCAAGGCATATAATGTCAGGTCTCTTTACAATTTTTGGAATTGATCAGATCACCCTCATAGATTCAGGCTGTTGTGTGAGAAAGGCAGTGAAGGGACTCACATCACACTCCCGAAGGGAATCCATGGCTAAAAGATCATTGCCATGTCTGAGCTGGAATCGAACCATCTCTTCAGCAGCTGAGAGCTCAGCATGCTCAGTCATCTTTGAGGGGCATTCCTTTAGCAGTTGTTTCAGAAGAAGAGCATATTTCCCCATTCTTTGCACTGGCTTAAGGAGATAGCTAGCCAGATCCATCTTGTCTCCTAAGTCCCTCTGCTTCTTCTGTTTTATCATGTGAAAAAAAATCAAAACATATATCACTGGTATTGGGCCATGATGGATAAAAGCAATATTTAATGTCAAGACTTCTACTGGGTAACAAACATGGAATAGTCAGGGAGGTTTCCACAAGAGAGCTTGGCTCATTCAACTCAGGCATTTCAGCTCAAGTGATACTGTTTCAGGAACTGTAGTTGTCTTGGGAATTTGCCAAAGAAAACTCTTGTAAGATGATTTCTTTGAGTTATGAAAATTTTCTAAATTTAAGTGGTTTAACACTGCACTAGCACTCTGGAACCAATATATTCTGCTCCAAGTTAGTCTCTGAGGGGAAACATGACCCCAAGGGTCAAATGGCTATCTTTGGCCCTAATTTGAGCAAGAAAAGAGTCTCTGGGCTCATATCAAAGCTGAAATGAGGCTTAAACAAATTTATTTTATGTACTTTTCGACACCTTTTCGAAAAGTTATGAATTTCCAATACTTTGAGTTAAATACCAAAGTTTACATCAACATTTCAAACAGTGAGAAGCATGGTAACATGATGAACTTCTGCAACATAGTAATTCTAGAGAATGAAAATAAAAAGAGCTAACTTATGAATACTCTGTTTATAACAACAGCAAGTTAAATGTGAAAAGTGTACATTTGCCATTTTTCCCTCACCCTGATGGCTTATATTTCCTATTTCAAACTCAATAAAGTCTGAAACTAGTGTCAGGTGAAAGCTCTCTCCAAGGTCTTTTCTGTTGACACATGGCTTATGTAGTAACTCAAAACTTGCCATTTTTCTCTTGAAATATTTTACCCAATTTTCCTACAATGGGAATCCTTGTAATGCAACCCTGGTCTGGGTAGATTTCATCAGTGACCTACGAACAGCCTTGGTTCCTTTTTTTTATACTTCATTTCATACATGTACATCAGCAAATTAAAATGTGACATTTTTACAAATCCCCATAATTCCTGTGCCTCTTTCCCTGTTTCAAACAAGATGCACACTTGAATGAAAGGTTTAGTGGAATTTTATTTCTCTGTTGCAAGGAGTTGGCAGTCTAATCATTTATCCTGGTTTAAGACTTAGTACTGTATTATACTAAATGCAGATCTTCCAAAAATGATTTAGTACAATATGAAACTAAACCCTGAACCTAAGAAAATCATTAAATTTTCTGATGATAACCCTCATACACACCATCAATGAAACTATGCCAATTCATTAACAAGGAAAGACTTTTGTGGGAAGTCTCCTTAAGACATGCAAATACACCAACCTTAAAGAAAGCAGCTCCATACTCTGACATTAGGGAATCTGACTTTGGCTTATTCTTGTTGTATAAGGCATACAAGTAGAATTGAGATTCCTGCAAAAAAAGACAAGACATGCATCTCAGTTCACATTCATTGTGCATCACAAAGAAAGGTACAGGATGAAAACTCACATATCGGAGGAAGCAGAGACCTGCATTGAAAGGAGTTGTCTCACAATGTTCCAATTCCTGTAGGAAATACTGGCCATGAAATTCATGAATCTTTTCGATGTTCCCAAAGATGACATTTCGCTGGCCTCGCAATGCTTGTGGTATATCTTCTCTCAGAAGTTCTGGGATGTAATTCTACAGGATGATCAATAACACCATATAAAGAAAACTCACTGGATATTAAAATGCCAACTACTGGATGATTCAAGGGGCGCACCTCAATGATATAGGCAAGTGCCTTCACATAGTCTCTCTCAGTTTGAATCATTTCCTTCATGATCATCAGGAGGGTCCTGAAAAGGCACAATGAAGCATTAGGAGATTGATCATAAAGTATGGCAGTCTCCAGTAGCCAGGCAGTATCCCCAAGATGATGAGGAAGATGACCGAGAAAATAAAGGCTCGAAGTGAGATGTGATAGACTCACTTTTTGTCTTTGTCATTCAAATCCTGACCGTGAGCACCAGATAGGGAAACACTGAGATTTAGAGAGGAACCGCGGGAAAGAAGATGGCTATTGACTGGAACAGGCCCCCCAAACCCATCTCCATCTCCATCTAAAGAGCCAGTGATCCTACTCTCTCGTCTTCCTTCTTCTATCCCATAGGTAAGATCTTCATTAAAGCTGCAATCAGACAAACGCGATTTGCAATTGAGAAACGAGGAGTATGGATTGTGTGAGCCAGTGAGTTGCCGATGCAGATCGTACCTGAATCCACTCTCGTCTTTGGAAGCACCGTCTTCGGATTCATCGGGCTGGAGATCAGAGCCGCAGCCTGAGGAAGACTGCAAAGAGGAGCGTCGACCGACAACACACCACGATTTCCCCGAGTTCCACTTCGCGGAAGAGGAGTCAATAGGGGAAGGGAGGGCGAGGAGGGGATCGCAGGTCGGACAAGTCTTTGCCCCACTGAATCTCAATAAGTCCCAATCTAAAAGTCCTCGGTTCACTTTGGTTCCTGGCTGGTCCCCATCCTCGGATGGAAGACAAGGGATGCGAGACTCATACTGGTGCTTCGACTTCAGTAAAGCTTCTCGTTGCACCTCCAGCAATTCTTGCGTCTCCTGACACCGCTTCTCAGCAATCTGGAAGAAAGAGGACAAACATGAGAATCTTTCCTCCACTCAGCAACAAAGGGAGAGAACTATCGAAAAACTGGGTGGAAACCTTGACTTGTTCCAAAATCTTGGAGCTCTCCAATTTTTGTGCCAGAGAGAGCATTTCTGAGAAGGTTTCCTCTGTGATGGGAGGATGCTCTGAAAGGTAGGAATCCAGCTGCGAGAGAGCCGTCACGATGGGTTCCAGGCCACTTTCCTGATCCTCCACTTGCCAGCGAAATGCAAACTTCATCGTCTCCATCGCCCACTCATAGGCCTAATAATATTAGAAAACGTACCTGTCGGATGTACAGATTCTACTAATCCCAACACATCCATCCCTCCCTTTCTTCAAGTAGCACAGGACCGTAACAAAGCCTAACAGCGCAACATTCCTAATGGGAGATCTGTATGGAAGAAAAGAAATCTTTCTACGTGGCCGGAAACCGGATTTAGCATGTCGTTCCCTTTTTCTTCTCGATGTTAACGTGCAAGTCACGGCCATTCAGAAGAGGAGTTAGAGTGACTGAAGAACAGTGTATGTCAAAATGACCCCCCCCCCCCCCCCCCCCAATTTTTAACCAATATATAGCTACTCTGCAGCTATTTTGACAAAACTTGGACTATGCATAGGTTGATGTTTCCAAGACACCTATGAAATGTAATTTAATTTCATAATTGCATGGCTATGAGCAATAACTCTACAGAACAGTGGCGTAGGCAGGAAATCGGCAAGGGGGGGGGGGGGGGGGAGGCCAGGTAGACACCCCAACCCTACGCCTAACTCCACTACCCGGAATTTACCTTTTCAAAGAAATCATGGTCTTTCATCTTGAGTCAGTGGACGGACATTAGACTTTCCTCGAAGGGGCATAGCTAAAATTGGACTTCCCAAGGAAGGTTGAAATATGCCTGTCAGTGTCACAGACCGGGAGGCCCAAGGGAAGGGGGGGGGGGGGGGTCTAACCCCCTCACCCCCCCCCCCCCCCCCCCCCCCCCC